CACACTGTGGCGGCCGGGGTGTGGTCAGCCTAACCCCCCTCACCTCCGCGCTCGGTCCTGGTGGGTGAGGGGAATTCTGGGAGTTGAAGTCCACCCATCTTAAAGTGGCAGAGGTTGAGGAACCCTGCCCTAACGTATCCATGTCTATGAGTGGATCCAAGCAGGGTGGCCTTTTCTAATTGACAGATGGAACATTTTGGGTATGGCACCCCGTTTGCCAATAACCCCTGGCACCACCACATCCGGTTTACGCCATAATCTTTCAGTTTCGATTTTCCAATCTTGATACTTTATCATCTTCTCCAATTCTTTGTCTTCTATTCCACTATCCCCAGTATGACGATGATCTATCTACCGCAGCCGACTCCAAAAGCCCCTGGGAGGGATGAAGAGTGACATCGCTGGGAGCCCTCAACTTAAAGGGGTTTTACCTTTGATCTCCTGCCGAGTCAATGCGGGCCGGGGATGACGGGAGCTGCTGTTTACACATCTGGAGGGTTCAGAGACAGGGCGGCCGCTGCACACGTTTGCCCAGAAGCGCAGCAAAACAAACTCAACGTCCCAAAGTTGATAGGCGGCTGGTCCATCCAATCGCTCTGGCGGGGCAGAGGGAGGACCACCAACAGCCCACCCGAGGTTGCAAACGGCAGCCCGACCCAGTGCGGGGAGGCTGTGCCCCTGCATTCGTCTGCCCTCGTGGGCAGCTGAAGAGCAGTGTAAAATGCAACACATTTGCATCAGTCCAGGGACTGGGCTGCCCTTGACATGGCAAGGTTAATGGGAAGCAGGGGGAACGGAATCGCCCTTTTTCCCTGGACCCCCAGGGGCCAGAGGAGCCCTCCTTGCCCCTTCCCTTCCCTTCCCTGCCCAGCCACCCGACCACTGGCGGGCAGAGGGAGAGAGGTCGGGGGGCTCCTGCATCTGATCTGGGCTGAGTTGATCCGAAACGAAGGAGGGGACCATCAGCTGCTTTCCGGCTGCTAAACCGAGTTACTCCAACCTGGTGCCCCCTGCACTGCTCCCTCGGCAGTTTCTCTCCTTTCCTTCATCTGAGCCCCCAGAGTGCGGAATCGCCTTTGACTCGGCAGCTGGCCCCAAAAGAAGAGGCACAACGCCCCACGCTAATTCAAGCGGGCAAATAAAAACCCGGTTCTGGCTGCCATCACCAAGGGGCCCAGCCTAGGCCCGGGAGGGAGGCTCTTCCTGAAGGTGGGGCCAGAATGGACAAACGGGGTTTCTGGTTCCCAGCCCCCAGATCTCACCCAAACGGGGGTCCGGGTGGAACATCTCCCGAATCATCTCCCGGGATGGGTTGACTCTGCTTGGTGTTGGTGGTCCTGAAGTTACCGAGGTAGGAAGCCACATAGTGCTTTATAAGCCCCAAATAAAATGTTTTAGAAAGGGAAAGAGGGGGTGGATAAGGCTGGTTAGCTGCCGGCCCGGCAGGTACTTCGTCTTCGTTTTAAGAGAGAGGAAATATTGACTTCCTGCTAAGAGCCAGCTGGAACGGGTCCATGATGGGTCTTTCTTTTAAAGATAAAACAAAACAGCCAGATGCTGAAATAAAGGGGGAAATGAGGGAGAACGAGGGGTCAGCGCTCTTCCGGCCCCCGGCTTGCTCAGCCGTCTCCCAGGGAGGAATTTGTTCATCGGAGATCTGGTTTCCTTTGAGTGATGTCTCAGGAACGTTTGTGGTCGACCAGCGCCCCGGCCTTTCCATTGCCGGGGGACAAAGACGCGTGCCCCCCTCCCCTTCTCTCCCCCCATCTGGCCACATTGCCACGCTGGCCTCGGGTCTTCCTGGAAGCCATTCGTGCGCCAAGAGCAGCCCAAGGCTCTCCTTCCACGGAGGCTGCGCTTGGCAGCCCTCAGGAGGAAGAGCGCAATGATGGGGGGGCGGTTTGACCAGGGCCCAAGGGAAGGGTTCTCCGGGGGGGTGAGGGCGGGAAGGAAGAGGAGCTCCGGCAGGGCTGTGCTGGGTCCCCTTTCCACGGACACTGACCAGGTGGGAGCAGCTCAAGAGTTTGGGGGCTGGATCGGGCCAAAGGCCGGTCTGCTCCAGCCTCCTTTCGCTGGCCTGGGGGTCCCTGGGCGACGCCCACACCAGCACCGGCTGTGCACAGGGACGCCGGGAACTGGTCTGCCCCCGTGAGTCTCTGGTACCAGCCACCACGAAGCCACGAAGGTCCTCACACGAACAGTACACCCTTTTGTGGGTTTAATTCTCCTGTTGGGTCGCCATTTTATGTTTTATAGACTGGGTTGCCTTTTTCTGTCTGTTTTTGCGATGCGCCATCCAGAATCAAACTGTCCGAGTTGGGCGGTCCTGCAAATCCAATACATAAATAAACAAACAAACAAACAAATGCAAACTGTGTGATTGGTGAAGTCCATCATTCAGAGACCCCTGCTGTCCCTCCCCCGCCCCCGGACACCCATGCC